GAGTCCTCTATCCTGTAAACGACAAGACTTTATCTCTTGATTCTTTAGTCCTCTCGCTTTCATACATCACAAAAAGGGGCGAACATCATAAGATAGGTTCCGATCCATTCCAGTCTATGACAGCATTCTTCCACCTGTACGATCAGTTAAAAAATAATACACAAGGGTTTTAATAGTTAACCACTATCTTAGGACAAGGACGCCAAATTATGGTTTGCCAATTATTACATTCTGCGTCATGTCACAAGCAGGTTTTAACAAATCGACAACAGTTTTCTATGGGCTGTGGTCTTATCGACTATAAATATGAATGTTTTTATTGCAACGTTTTGAACATTTTGACGTCATTTCTATGGTCGATAAGAGTATAGACCATGTTATTCTAAAAAACAATAACATTGACAGTTTAGACGTCCTTTTCTAGAAGTTTCTGAGAAAATCTCGCGCGAGAGAAAGAAAACCAAATTGTGCCATCATGACGTCATTTTTATGGTCTGTACTCTTATCAAACACAAAGCTCTCGACCAGTCAGCGTGCGAGAAACTCAGTTAAAAATATATTGACTTTGTGCTTGAAATATGCCTCGCTTTCACTCAGCTCGACACGTCAACAAATACATCAAACACGCCTGTCTCTGCGTCAGGAGAAGAAATCCTAAAACGACTAGACTTTTCGTAACCAAAGAGATTCCAAATACCCCTTCAACGAGAAAGCAACAGGTTTTTGGATAGTAACACCTTAAAAATTTGCCGACAAACTAAGCACCACACGCAAAAACAGTATCATCACGACGTGAAAGTACTGCTTAAAAGGTTTCTTTTGAATGATCACGTCCGTAGAATTTCATCCACAGACTCAAACGTAACAGCTACATACTAAATTAAAAGAAACATCTGAAAGTATTGCTAAAGAGGTTTCATTTGAATGGTAACACCATAGCGAGGGTTTCATCCACAGACTTAAAAGTTACAACTACACAAACTCAAGATATAGAAACATGTGAAAGTACAGTGTAGGGCTGACGAGGTTTAATTTGAATGACTACACACATTGCCTGATGGTTGAAAATGAGCCTTGATGACGGGGTACAAAAACGATTTAATGGAGAGCAAGAAACGTACCAGGACGACAAGAAAAACGGACCTTATATTATTTCATTAGGTTTCTTTCCTCCAAGCACAGCATTTCTGTGCCAAGCAGCCAAATTCAAAGCCCTGAAAGGGCCACTTTTCTGACAATGAACTCTGTCACTTGGTCTCACCTTGTTCGTATGCAGTGTTCCAGTGGAGGCACAAGATCAGTGTCCTTGTATTCTGGGCATTCTTTTGTTGTATCTTTATCAAGAGAAAGATGAAATTACTTAAAGGCTACGTCCACACGTATCCGAATATTTTTTAAACCATTTTTTCGTCCGTTTTAAGTCTTCTGCCGTCCACAATTAAACGGCGTTTTCAGGCACCTAAAACGTACGTTTTGTAAAACGCTTTCATAGTGTTGATTTTTGTTCTTTTCTTTTTTTCTTCTTGTTTTTATTTGCAAAACGCTTTTCTATCTTTATTTCATCAAAAAGGAGGCTTCAATTGAAATGCGATGATGTCATACATATTACAGGGACGCTATCGTAATTACATCAACAAAAGACATCTCTGAGATTATATTAACCCGAAATGCGTTTTTCCATAATTATTAATGGTATTTAACCAGTGGTTTTATAATTACAATGTTCAGCTAGTTTTTTCTTAATAATTTTAATTTTTCCTGACTCAAAAGAACTTCCCTGACTTTTTCATGACCTTGAAGTATCTTTTTTCCAGGCCATTATCTAGCCTGTAACAGCTATCTACCCGAGCAAGGCCATATAAGTTACACTGACATTTTACACGAAGTAATGCGTGCTCACCAACTGTCAATCTTAACTCCTCATCCTGCCTTGCCAGACCATCATAGTAATAAAGATCAAACTTCTTCTCTAACCTCCTGTGTATATCAATCAATTAATAGATCGATCAATCAATCAATCAATCAAACAAACAATCAATGGCTAGAGCCTACGTCGACTCCTATATTGCAGTTAGATGGGACAATATACACACATCTAATCCTGAAATCACTATCACTTGAAATTATCGTCATAATGAAAAAACAAGATAAACCAAGTCATTCCACGAATACAAGCTCCGATTCCCTTGAGGTCTCCTTCTCCCAGTGTTGGTTTTTAGAGATTGCTTGGACTTTTTTGTATAAACATTGAAGCGGAAGGGGCGAAGAAATCCGCGAGTGTTTCGACCATTATGACTAGGACTTCCGGCCAGCAAGGACCTCTGGCTTCGGATCCGTAGTTCGAGGTTCAAGCCCTGCCATCGCGTTTATTCCTTAACGTTGTCTCTCCTCACTCAGGTGTATTAACGGAACCCGGCGACATACTGCTAGCGGTAACCCTGCGATAGCCTACATGCAGACATTTCCTTTCCTAGCGGGGGAGATGGCGGGGGAAGAAAGCATAACACCCAGGTTTCTCATACTAAAGAGACTGGGAGAAGCCTCGGTCGTGTGGGCACCATGGCTTGCTAAGCTTAGTATAAGCGTCTAACAAGAGTGCTCTGGTGCCCAAAGCTTGGACCACTTACCCCTTCCCTATGTAACAATTTTGCCCTTAGTGAGAAATAAAAGTTAACGTCGACTTAGGGGAGGGGTAGGTGGTCAGTAATCCAGAAACCTCAATACCAAAACGTTGCCTCTGAGTTTGCACGCTTTGATCCGATCATTATACGTTTCTGGGAGACTGCCCACATACCCCTCCCCTAAGCCAACATTTTGCCCTAGGTGAGAAGTAAGTGTTAATATTGGCTTAGGGGAGGGGTAGGTGGACAGTTTCCCACTCCTTCATACAGTTGGTGTCTGACCAACATTATTTGCTTGTAAACTGATCGCTGATAGAAACTATTTTCAGGAGCCCATCAAATGGAGCCTCCATCTCCATTAATTTCTTGAGTCAACCCTTTCCCGAGTAGATTTATAAATAGAACGGCTTGTTTCCCGCGAAAAGTGTCATATTTCCGTGAGTCTCGTATGTCACCGTGAAAAAAATGAAGTTGGATGAAGTCGAACTCAGAAGCCCGTCCTTCGACCGTTTTCCTTTTTTACTATACGTCCATTTTTACAGTTTTACAGCCGCTGGGATCTGGGATGAAATAAAAGTTAATGAATTACCCGACTGAGACTGAGCATGAAGCAATGGGACAAAGGCAGCGAACTGAGGATCACGGAAAGGTTCTTTGCGAGTGTTTGTTTTTGTTTTTGTTTTTTTTTTGCCGTCATCATCCCACATTTAAGCATGCACCGTGAAAAGAGTCGACGATTAAGCGTTCTGTGGACGATTTGAAACTTTTCGATGATCAGCGCCGAAAAAGTGCCAGGATCATTTGATTTTTGTTATCGCCGTGGGGTGGATTTCGCCAGTTAAGCACCGCGTGCAAAAGCGATGACCTAAGTAGCAACTAAGGAGGAATGCTTCAGAAAAATTGCAGTCTTCCTTTACAACTGACTTGTATCGCCATGAGAGTTGCCTGATAAAACTGGCACTTACAAAGTTGAACAGAAGACAACAGTTGCTCGACCGTGAAGCTAACTCAAAAGTAATTTGCTAAAGCCGAGGAATTTGTGACATCGCGCTCCAGTCCAAAGACCCTCTTATCTCAAGAAAAGCAAAACGGATTGTATCTGCGCCAAAAGAATTATGACTGACTAACAGGAGAATTCTCAGCAATTAATTTAGAAGTTTAGGCCAATTCTTTCCTTCGAATTCGCATCTGTAGATCACTTTTTTGCGAGAAAACAATGGCTGGGCTCGGCGTTACAAAACATAGCAGGGAATCATCACACTAACTGACGGACAAAACAACCACAGTATTTATTCAGACAAACGCATTTCGGAGAAAAACTTGAAAAACTAGAAATTTGATTAATATTGAGTCATTTAGCCGAAATAAGAACCTTAACGCTAAAAAAAATTGGCTATTTTTAAAAACGAATCCTGTCAGAACTACAGACTGCAGGTAGTAGTTAATCATTACGCATGTAACAGATCAGCTTCATGGCCTCTTATAAATGTGAGACAAGCAACCAAAATTAAGATTAACATAGTCAGAGTTTAAAACTCTCCACAGTATAATCTACCCGCTAGAAAGAAAAGAAAGAAAATCTCTGAGGGATGAAAACGCTAAAGTCACGATTCACTAGCTTATGATTTTGTTTGGCCTGTCAGCACCGGATTTCCTGCTGTTTCATGAAGTACAATAGCACTGTCATTTAGTCGTTGTGATTGGCTCTTCCCACCGCCGGCGCGCGAAGTCTCCCCTGGGAACCGTTCTAATTATAAATCTACTCGGGAAAGGGTTGACTCCAAGGGCTTGTATGGGAGATGGAGGCTCCATTTGATGGGCTCCTGCTATTTTCTAACCCTTCGGCAAAGCACTACAAGTGACCAGAAAGTAGCATCTCTTTTATGACATCAGTGTTTTTAATCAAACTGAAGGAATTAGTCTCCTCATTACCACATAACAGGCCTTTAGTGAAAACATAAAAAAAAAAGTATTTAGAAAGAATAAAAACAGGCTAAAGATAAGTTCAAATGCCGTAAATTGGCTAGTATCAATGGCCGTTTTCACACTAGAGACGGATTATCCGTTTGAGACGGATAATCCATCAAAATCCGTCAAAATTGACGGAAATACAGATGGATAAAGTCAGGCAGATTATCCATCCAAAATCCGTTCCATATTCAAATTAAGACGTATTATCTAACGGATAACCCGTCTGAGACGGATAATCCGTCTCTAGTGTGAGTACATCCATTTACTAGTGACTATAAGCTTACCAGTCGTGCAAGAGATTTCTGTTGATAGAAAACAAGACACTGAAGTGACTCTCGCTGCATATCACCCAAATAGGATAATTGGGAGTCTTGTAATTCACACCAACCTGTAACAAATGTTAAGATGGAGTCTGTCAGTACATTGTAAATACGCTTGTTTTTTGGCCATCTAAGCTGAAGAAGAAACAGAAAACAAATTGCTGTGATAAACATAAATGCGTTTATCTTTCTTTATGTTTATCACCGCAGTTTGCTTTTTGTTTCTTTTGTCAGTACAACTGTAGCATGCAGAACGGGCCCTTTTTTTTTTCGCGTTTTTCGGACAAGCACCAAGAAGGCGTGGAGGCGATCGGAGAAACAAGCGCGGCGGGGAAAAGCGGGACGCCCGCTTCGCGCTTGTCTGAAAAACGTGTAGCGCCTGTTTTGGAGGCTAGCACAACTGGTCCTTTGCACCTTCCAGTTAAACCTTAAGCCTGATTTCCTTATAATAATCTGGATTGTTTTAGTCGCCTCTATTTTCTACTTGGGAAGTTGCAATCCAAAATGTGTGAGCCGGCCTATCTACAGAGGTTGGTTCTGTCCAGAGGATTGAATGCTCGCGATTGGATTGCCACAATTGTTTGGATAATTCTACATCGCATCACGGGTATATTTCCATACGATCGTCTAAACATATATAGAGACCACCCCCCAGACGATTATTTAAAAAGCAAGTTTAATCATTGAAGACAATGTACAGCAGAGACCACGCACGTCCCAACTGAAACTAACAAAAGGAATGAGGACCTCGAAAACTATATCGTTTCCACGGCTTATAACTATAAAGCTTTGTCTGGGAGTGCGTTGCTGGAGGGGGCGGGGGAACGAGGAGACGAGCCACAGGTTCTCCCAGAAAATGAACTTTCAAACTTCTCAAGTGGACATCGCATACGCGAAAAAGCTTAGTAACAAATCAAACAAAGACGTCAAAAGTTTGCGAAGACAGAAAATTTTTGGCCAATATCTGCTGGATTGGCCAATACAAAAAGCTCTACATTACAAGTTTTAGTGGCAGGGTTTCTTAGTGTGGACGTAAGCCACGTGTAATCAAACGCAAAAAGAAAGGGACTGCCAAGTCATCACCTATTGGAATACTTAAACATGAAATCTAACAGTCTGTTCATTTTTAACGCTGCCGGACTCTAATGGACGGGAGCTCGGCCCTAAGATTTGCCTCGATGTATTAAAAAAGAACAACAAGTTCTGTTCCATTAAAACTCTCTTAACCTTGGTACAAAGGAGGAAGAGGAAGCAGCCCTGGAGGTGTGTAGAAAGATAAAAGGGTGTTTAACCAGCGACGTTTTTGCGGGACGTACGTCAACCGGAAGTGGACTTTTTGCACTCCTGAGCCGTGATTTTGAACACAGTTTTTGGGCAAATCATCTAGCAATACAAATTTGATAGCGTCAAGGCATACTAAAAGAAAAAAGGTTCACTTTCGTTCAAAAACGTCGCTGCTTAAACTGCCTAAAGACGGTGACAGTGTGTAGGCACCTCCCGGTCCCCTTCATTACACTCCCCCCCGTTCTTCTCTACACACAAAAATATCTCTAGTCATCACCAACCTCGCATGATTTGTAATGTTCAAATAAGGACAGAAACCCGACGTCACTTTGTTTATCTATCCCTTTGAAGACATTCTGCAAAAAATAAAAATAAAAAAAGATCGTTGAATGTTAGCACCTTACTAAAAAACGATTAAGTCGAAGATTAAACAGAATGTCTAAAACAAAACCTTGCTAAACAGCATCGAGGGACGAAGCTAAAACAAAAAGGCATCAACAGTCGCATATAATAAGGAAATTCCTTCAAATATTCTCGAGATAGTGGGTTTTTATCACATTCTATCGTTGTAACTCTTCTTTATATATTAGTGAAAATCGTCTTTAATAGGTTCGTGAAAGAGTCAAGTCCCGTATATACGGACTCTGAGGGGGCCATAGAAAGTGTCCGTATTAACGGGGTGTTCGTATTAAGCGGGTCGAATTAAGAGAAACAGTAAAGGGCTTTTTTTCCCCAGGAAAAGTAAAACTGTCACATATGAAAATCGTCTACGGTTCGTAATACGGTCAAACTCCGTGAAAAGGGACACTGAGGGAGGCGTAGAAAGTGTCCGTATTACCGGGGTGTCCGTAAAGCGGGGGTCGACTGTACACCAATCATTAACAACCACGGGGGTACAAACAGTCTCACTCAGGAAATCGACACTATCACCTGACGAGGACCAGCAGTACGCGGCCGAAAAGTCGCGATTAATAGTGACGATCGTGAGGCAAACGATAACGAAACCCTTTAAACACATTAACCACCACGAAAAATATCTTTCATGATATCGTCTTAAATACCACACCTTTTTTTTTCCCCCCGTATCAACCTCCATGATGTTATCGAATGTGTTTGAGACAGCCTTTCCGGTTATTAACAAGTTCACCAGTTCCTGTAAAGGACAATACATGTAATAAGAATGAGAATGAGACTTTTGCTGCAAATAGTGAAAAAACAAAACAAAAAACAACAACAACAACGGAATTTCAGCTATTAAGAAACAACGAGAGAAAGACGGACACAAAGAAACAAAGTAACAAAACACTTGGAGGATACAAAGGACTAAGGGAACACTTTACAACCGCACCTGGGAAAACTGCGCTCAGAATGGTGTTATATTGCACACTCTATTAAAATAAATAGGAGCGCGAAGGCATAACCTACAAAGACTATCCATTCCATTTAAGATTAAAGTAGGGGGAATCATCATCATCATCATCATCCTCGTAGTCATTGTCGTCGTCAGATTGATCCATACCCGTAAATGAAAAAGATTGTGGTATACATGTACTGCATTGAAAATCTAACCTGCGTGCAGTAGTCGTGAGCACCCATCAGCCTGCCTTGAGGTTCATCCATATCAGATATCACTCTTAAACAAGAACAACAAGAAAAGTTTAAGACCACTAAATACTTGATAAAAATCCCCAGAAGCTCCCTTACATTAAATTTGCAATATAATACTAGCAGATTATTTTTCTCGAAATTATAACACAAAGGCTTACTCTCGATTTCTACTGGTATTGGTACTTCTTTGCCCCTCGTCAACTATTTGCCGTAAACTTAAATTAAAGAAATGATCATTGAAAGGAAAATGCTTTGAGGAAATATCTAGTATTAGTTTGAAGAATTTGTATGTAGGTATTAGGGCTTGAAGGGTTAAATATCATTTACTAGAGCTTCACTTACTTTCGTATTGACCTGGACAATATCACAGAATACAACAGTAAAATACATCCACTGCTACTATCAGATTCAAACTGAAAATGGACAAAAAGTGGATTTATTTCTAGATGAAATGCAGTAATACGGAAAGTACATAATTCAGGATTACGTTTGGCTCTTATAGTATAAGCTGTTAATATGCCTGTGATAAAATTTCTAGTAAACCCATTGTAATTTTAAACCGGCAAGCGCAGGACGTTGAAGAAGAACTAGAGGGTCCACGGGGGAACTCCCATATAAAAGGGGCGGGGATTCTTGTCGTCTCGCTTAGGGGTGCAAATTTCGGATTTTGGTCTCACTTAGGATGCTCTGGGCAAAACGCCATTATATTTAGCCGTAATGGTATTTTCAATTCGTTTTATTTACTCGATTCATGTCATCAAAGTTCTCAGTATAACATCAGTACCTAAAGATTATTGTAACAAAATGTCTCTGTTTTAAAAATGGTCTCTTTTAGGGGTCAAAATAAGGTTGGGCCACGCCCCGGTTGGTCTCCTTTGGGGGGTGTAATTCTAAATTCCCGGCGAGTATCCCCACCCCTTTCATATGGGAGTCCCCCTCGGGTGGGTCCTTAGTAGGCTTTTCGGGATCCGGGATTTAGCTTATTTGACGGCTGGGATCCGGGATTTTAGAGGGAAACGAAATAGAGATCCAGGGTGAAATTATGAAAGTGATACGGGAATTGGACAACGGAAATTCGGCAAACCAGATGCACTGAAAAACGATACATCGCTTAATTTGGAGACGCGGTCTAAACACCTTTCATTTAGACTTACGATATCGACGTTTTGTCATTCGGTCGACTGTAACTGTATTCAGTCCAACAAATCTGTCCATTGAAAGGTATGTTTAGGATTACGGTCGGAATAACTGTATTGAAAAAGCCTAATAAGGACCTTCCATGACGTCACGTTGGCAATGTTGGTGTAAGTGAACCACAATCAACAAGCAAACTCCTCTAGAGAGAGAGGAGAAGTGTGACGTCACGTTACCATGGTGGCAGAATCATGATCTGGATCTTAACAATCTTTCTTGGCAAGGACGGCCATTTGCCTGTTCGAACGATGGAAAAGTATGGGCTACTGTTTTGTTCCTGAGTGCAATCATGCACAAGAAAGGAATTCACGTTAACTTTTTCGTTCTCTTTGTGGCATGGACCACTGTTTGTTCAGATTTTGCTACCATGGCAACGCGACATAGCGACTTGTCCTCTTCAGTTTTCTTCTGATCTGCTCCATTGAGAATGAAGGGGCATATTACTAACCGCTATCTTTCGGCCTTGTTTCCACGCAATAAGCATTTATCGGACAAGGCCAAGCACTTGCAAATATCGCGATTGGTCGTTGGTGGCAGATAAAGTATCACTTTTGCTGTTAAGTAAACTGACTTCAGTAATCGTTTCACTAATAATTTACGCTTAATAAAATAATCCTTTTAAAACAGCATTATCAAACAGATACAGTGGTTAAAAGGTAGGCAACGGTACCTCGCTAAAAGGAGAAATAAAAATCACCTTATCCAGGCTCATTCAAAATTGCTAATTGTACAGACATACAACAGGTAAGGATAGAGTAACACAGTAAGAATGCTACGTACCTGCGATATATTTTGCGAGATAAAACTAAGAAGACTTTCAGAAGACTTGAAGGTGTATAACACAAGCTGTGGAATACAGAAAAAAGTCACCACATGCAATTAACTCACAATTACAAAACTGCAAGTTTAATACAACAGAAAAAATAGCCTGATGTAAGAAAACAAACAAGGCCCATTTTTATCAATCGTGCAGGGCTGCAAATAATAGTTGGTCATCGAACAAAGTCCAACTAAAATTGGCCCACGTTCGGCGAAATCTTAACTGCGTTTGGACATCAGTTGGACATGTCCTGTCAAATTTAATAACAAAGAGGCAATCGCTTTCATTGCACGGCCCAGGTGTTCGAAGGCCGATGAGAGCAAACTCGCGGTTAAATTTTTATCTCGCTTTCTTTTTCTTTTTTAATAAAGCATTTTCTCAGAAACATTTCTTCTATTCTTTTTTGAGTATGCAATCATCAGTGTGTAGACAAAAAGAATTTAACTGAATTTTCCATGTTTCTTAGCTTTCAAACCTGAATTCAGACTTCACTCTTTCCTTTTGCCATCTTAACCCAGGTTTGAACAGCTAAAATCTACCCTGAGCAGAATCCCCTGAGCAAATGTGTAGGAACAAAATACCATTACTGCATTATGGCAGCAATTACAGTAACTACAGTCTACCTGCAAATCTCACATCCACCATGAACAATATTCGTTAAAGAGGTTTAATGCGAACACTATTGCGGAGACCGATCTCTTTCAGTAAAGCCAAACATGTATTTCGAAGGCACCCTTGACGAAGAGGAAAGTGACTTCTCAATACAAGTGCAACACTGTTTACAGTGCAGGCCCCCTATTTTCCCTTAAAAATGTCACGATCGAGTCATTTTGGCGTGAAATGTCCTATCTTGCTTTAAAACGTTCTGTCAGTGGGCAGGCGTCGGGTGATCTTATGGGAAATTGCAGTACTTACCGCTTCTGTTAACTGGTCCGGTTTGTATCGCCCAGCACCAAAAACATTAGAACCACCAGTAGGTCTGAAATAAATTGTGAAAATTAACTAAATGGGATGTAACTTCGGGTGTTGCCGAAATTATAGTAGCTACCGAGTTGAGGTGTCTTTTCGATATTTCGTGTTACTTGATTTGGTGATTGCTCCATCCTCAAAGATGTTGCGCGATTTTTGTTTCAAGCGACGTTATTCTTGGGGCGAGAGATATGAATCAGAGGATGTGAAGTGACTGACTTAATTTTGAGTTGTAAGAGCAAAACTAACAACACCATAAAAGGAAAAACGAAAGGCCATGTCTTGATTGTTGTTATTGACTTGTTTTGTTTGATGTTTTATTTTGGTTTTGTTTTCTATTGCGATGGTCTCAATGGATGTGATTCGAGAAGCTTAAGCGATCACAACGGCGACGACAGCGAAAACAACTTTTGATCGCATCGACGTCTTGTGGTCACCCACTTCATGGTTCGCCACATTCAGCAAAAAACAAATTTTCGTAGAGAACGGTAAAATAACGTACCAAAAGGCACGGCTTTTGGTGTTTGTCGTTGCCGTCGCCGTTCTTCCGTTCTTCCGTCACCCCGTTCTTCAAGACGCCGCCTGTGTACCAGGATTGAGTACGCGCCGTGATTGGTCCGGGTTGAAGGGAAATCCAAACGCCCTTCCGATAACTGATTCATCAAGTCCGTTTGGGGCGTCGAACAAGAACCTCGGGGCTGCTTCGCAGACGTTACTAACTGCGATAAGATTACGTCTGCGACGCAGGCTACCATTAGAGACTTTAAGATCCAACGACACGACGGCAACGAGAACGTCGCTTAAAAAGTGAATTTGCGTTCTTTCAGTCTTTATCGCAATCATTACCCTCTTACTTTGTCGAATGTAGGCGAACCCTTCTGCAGTTGAATTCCTAGGGACCATAACCATGTTCAGAAAGAGATAAAATTTCGTCTACTTGTTCAAAGTTGTTGTCTGCTCATAAAACCTATTGTTTTTTCTACTTTTGCGTTGCCGTCCGCGTCGTTGGATCTTAAAGTCCCTATTATGGCTGACCCAGAAGACTACCGGCACTGGCAGTCCAGACATGTGACTCGGCTGAGGCCACCTTGAGCAGAGTGGAGTGCCCGATGACAATCACTCGACAACGACACATCACTCAGGGCAGCGCCTCGTGTTTCAATTTCGGCCAAACACTCCTGCTTGTTTTTTAAATAATGCATAAACTAAATTTCAGAGTAACTTACAAGGCTACTACTGCTTCTCTGCTGTCACCAGCCCTCCATAATATTTCACTAATAGCTGATGTAAGAGCTTTGGTTCTTTCTCTTGAAGAAGGCTGAAGTTTCCTAAAATGGACATGAAATAGGATTTATTAAAAGATTAGAAAAAACTAGTTTCCATAATCGCCACGTCCGGACAGGAGCAGCAGAAAAAAAAAAGGCATGGCTGAGTTATTCTCAGAAGTTGTTACTAGAAATGGAAATGACAAGGGTAATGGGAAAAAAATTATTATCGCCATTTAATTTCTCCGTTTCTGATTGGCTCAAATCCTCCAGCTTTAAGGTGTTTTGATATAGTTTTTCAGAGGCCATACTGATATTTTTCAATCGCTTTAAAAGTGATTTTATCCTTGTCTGATCGCTATAAAGTTTTCACCAATGATTGACTATAGATTGAAATTTGTCAAAATGTGGGTTTTAGTAAAATCGATATTACTATGACAACAATAAACAAAAAACTTTGAAATTGATAAACGCCTAATTTTGCGCGATCTGGGCCAGCTACTGAAAATTCAACACTAGCAATAAAAGTTTGATGTTTAGCAAATAACCTCCGTGAGAAGTAAATTAATGCGGACAATACATATATCCATGACTAGTATATTTCAGTGTGACTATTGTCAATGTTTTACATTCAAAAGATGCGATAAATTCAAACTAAAATGTACTGGTCATTTAGGTATGTATAGTGCGCATTACTTTGGAAAAATTAGCATAACGTCAAAACAGTGACTGTTGTAACGCAGATTTTTGACCGATTCGTGGGATAGGTTTGTCTTGAAATTTCAAGGTATTGCAGTGAATCAATCTTAATGAAAGTTTCAGACGTTATTATATACATTATGAAGATTATGAGAGGAGATTTTAAAAAAATTCGTTCGAGTCGTTTCAGAGATATACAAAAAAGCACGAAAAGTCCAAATTTTGAATGAAGTTGCAGGTGGTGAGAAAACGTCTTAGTTTTCAGGATCGCAAGAACAAAAATACGCCAAAATTTCCTAGCATCAAAATACTACATTAAGCAGCATTCTGACGCTACTTAAGAATAATTTGAATCATTTATAACGTTTTTATTAAATAATCTATCACGGCTATTGAAAATTTAAGGTTTGACATATATTTTCGTTTTAGTCGAATTCAAACATACAGAATTTTCTACTTCTTAAGGAGATCGTTCGCTAGACACCAAACTTTAAGTTCCTAGTGTTGGATTTTCAGTAGCTGGTCTACATCACACAAAATTCGGCTTTTACCAATTTCAAAGTTTTTTGTTTATTGTTGTCATAGTAATATCGATTTTACTTAAAACTACATTTTCACACATTTCAATCCATAGGCAATTATTACAGCGATTGGACGAGGAAAAAAACACTTATAAGGCGATTGAAAAATATCGGTATGGCCTCTGAAAAACTGTATCGAAACACCTTAATATTCTTCATAACCAGCTAGCGTTGACCAACTCTGGAAGATGCTTGCGATATCCGTTAAAACAAACGAATGAATGAAGAGTCGTGGATGAGAGGACAACAGACGTGCCCTCTTACAATATATTTTAACATGTGAACAGTAAGCTCGGACATCAGCACACAAAGGAGCCTTTGGCAGCTGCGCTCAGTCCATTTGAAATGACGTCAATGGTACAGAATATTGCAAGAAAAAGGGACGACAACTGAAAATGATTATTTACAATCTAAACTAAATCATCAAACCAATAGACATTTTCCTGGTATTTAAAGATATCCTAGAGAAAAAAATGAGTAAACATCATATACTCTTGTACGGTGGGCCAGAAGGGTCACACATGCAAATTAAAAATGTTGCTGCAAATTAAAAATTGTACATGCAAACTAAAAATATTACCTGCAAATTAAATTATAGTACATGCAAACTAAAAATTGTGCTGCAAATTGAAAATAGAAAACATATCGACACAAATTAAAAATGAAAAGTCCTGCGCGCAGTAGGAGTGATGAGGATCTGGTCCGAGCCGTGCGACCTGGCCTTACAGCCGTCGGCCCATTCATGTTTCATGTTTGTAATATTTTTAGTTTGCATGTCCTATTTTTAATTTGCAGCAACATTTTTAATTTGCATGTGTGACCCTTCTGGGCCACCGTACTCTTGTATCTGAAACACAATGTACTTTTTAGAGTCCCCTTTCTTTCCGCCAAACAGCAAATGCTTGAGGACAAACGCCTGTACAGCAGCCAGCACTCCACAGGGTCCACCCTGAAAAACAACAACAACAACAACGATAACCCCTAACATTATAATCTAATCACTCTGTTTTATAAAGCAAAGATACTACAAGGAGAACTTTAAGGCTGATCACTCTAGGGTTCCTTTAATTAACTAATATTTTATTCATTTGTTTTAAAATCTGAAGAGTTTCAGTGCTACAGAGTTGCCTTTTTCCAACCTAAAATCATATAATGGTCGCAAGGAGCGTAACTGATAACTATTTCACGCAAATGTTATCTCACCAAAAACTTACTTATCGAAAAAGCAACGGCTTAGCCGCATTACCGCCTAAAACAGGTGTGTACCCAACTGTCGACTTTCGCTGCACTTTTAATCGCAACTTTTGTTTTTTAATCACCATGGCAACCACAACGGTCGCACCTTGGACCACTGGTCACCGTTCTATAGTTCAACAATTGCCCTTTCATCCGAGAGATTCAGGCGAAATATTCGCATTAATTTGACCTTACCTTTAGTTGTACAATTCCATATTCCAGTGCATATAAGTCACAGAATGAAAAGCTTTGATTTCTCCATTCTGGTGTAAAGCTCGACTTGGCATTTCCAAATATAAGATTCTTCAAGCCCTAATGTGATCAACACATGCATCAGTAAATAGGCGACTAGATACACAGGATATTGCCTAAATCAAGTGAGTCAGCATGATCAGGCGTTCTCTTTTAGGAGTCGCTTGCGACGATAATGACTTGGGGGGCGTAGCCTGTAATAGGCTAAGGGGAAAGCATTACAACAAAGTCCTTGTCTTGATAAGATTGACTTCAAATTGTAATTACAAAAAGGATGAAACGGCCTTTTCTATGCACAGCAACAGCAATGTTAAAACGACAACAGTTCAGTTATTAAAAAAGATAAAGTTTTACAGTGTTGTATAGCCCGCAAATAGCTATTAAGCTAATCTAGGGGAATAAAACATTACGCATAGGTGATGTAAAGTTCAACATATTACAAGAAGAAAAAGAATACAATAACATACAGAAAGAATCACAAGACGTTTTCGCTAGTTACATGTAAATTTCAAGGCCATAAGATTGCACCTACCATTGCTGTTTCCAAAGTGATAGGTTTGTTTTGGACATCAACTTGCGTAATTTTCTTTGGACCTAAAATATGAGTAAACTTAAAACATTTTCTTATAGCAGCTTTCAATTAACCAAACTCTAAGTGCAGAAATACGTTAGTCCTACATTTGGAGGAACCGTGGCAGAGAGGTTAGAGCCCAGCCTCGTCCCCAGTCGTCCTTGGCGATTTCGGATATGACGTCAACTGTCAAGCTTGTCGGGAAAATTCGCCAAGGACGCCTCCCGCTATCGCGCTCAGTTACAAGCCTCCTCTGGTAACTCGGATAGCGCGAACTGGCCTGGGTAAGAGGCTGGTTAGCGCCCTGGAGTTGCAAGTTCAAGCCCCGCGCCAACGCAAGCGCTAGGTCTACATACGGAGCTATTTTTTGGTTTGTTTGTTTTTGTTTACGGGTCCATTTCTTGGCGGGAGATCTTAACGATTTATTTGTTTCTGTGTTGCTATAACTTCTTTCCCTGGGAATATACTTTACAGTCAAACCCGATTAACACGGATACCGAGAAAGTGTCCGTATTAACGGGGTGTCCGTATAAAGGGGGTTGAAGTTAAAGAAAATGTAAGGGCTATCTTTCCCCAGGCCAGGGACAAAGCAAACTATTCGAAATAATAAGGAGTCCTAATCAAAAAGGTGTCCGTAAAGCGGGATTTGACTGTATGGTGTTACCAGCAGCTTCACACGAGAGTAGCTAGAGCTAGAGTATTTTGGAGTCGATAAACCGTCCTTTTATAGGTCTTACACTGACAATGGACAAATCCAGGTTTATCCAGCTGGTTCCCCGAGGTGAATCGATTTACAGTCGGATTAAACAGCTTTCAGACCATCATATTTACACGTACAGTCGAACCTCCCATAAGCGACCACCCAAAATGAAAAGAATGAGTGGTCGCTTACGGGAGGGGGTCGTTTACAAGAATCGAACCACAGGGAGCCTCTTCCGAGAAGAGGTCCAGACACATCTACTTTATGGAAGATAATTACGACATTTGTAGTTCCACGTTGTCACTAAAGCTCTTTGTATATTGTAAGAAGCATAGTGGACACAGCGAACCTAGAGATCAGAGAATGCGTCAACTGTGGTCGCTTACAAGAGGTTAAAACCAATGGAAAATCATTGACAGTCAGGCACAAAAAGTAGTCGCGGTCGCTTATAGGAGGACCGAGGTGGTCGTTTACTAGAGGTTCCAGCTGTAAGGCTTTCACTGGGAAAATTTTATTGTTTTGGATTGGCGGTCGTTTATGGGAGGTGATCGCTTACGAGAGATGGTCGCACATGGAGGTTCGACTGTATAGATCTACCATACCTAAGGTTAAGTGACCAAGTTCTTGATCTAGGTCGTCGTCAATATCTTCAAACACCAGATCGCTACTTTTAGCCTTAAGTAAACAAAAAAAAAAGTGGTTAATGACTTTGGTGCAATTGCTATAACCTCCAAGTGGAGGTTCGACTGTTCATCTACTGTTCAATAATCATAGTATTACCTTCTGATTCCTCAATGTACTGGTGACAGGCTCGTTTCTAAGCAGGAAAAAACAAAACGTTGAAAATCTAGATGACTTGAAGAGACAGAGGGAGACCTGATTCTAGAACGCCAGTACTGAGAACATCATTTAACTTATAGCTACCTTGAGATTTCATTAGATGTGTTTCTTCTGTGATGTTTAGCTGAAATATCTTCCCTGAAAAAATGAAAAATAGAAATAAACAGTATACAGCAACATCATCCTTACTGATATAATTTTTGAGCACACAACACTTTAAGCACAAATAATGTTAAACGCGAAGTATACTCTATGCAGGTAATTATTATTTCTGTCTCCCAAATTATTAAAAAGAAAAAAATAGGAGTCGATAATTTTTAGAGTGATACTCACGGTCTATGTTTTTCTCTTCCCTTTCGGTCAACAGGAACATCCTGCATATTGTGAAGTTCATCAGTCTGCCGAAAAGGGAAAATAAGGCCACTATTGTACAAATGTAAGAAATTTCTTGACTCAAACGACGGAGAACTCATTTCCAGAGGTCGACATTATACTAAAAACGTCTTAGGCACATTCCTTTGAGTTAAAAACCCGATACTCTAGTAAGTATTCAGGTAACCTATAGCTACCCTGCGAACAGAGGTCTCTCTCATGCATGGCTTTTAGCGTTTGCAAAGTCGTTCGCGTGGCTTGTCTGTCGCGTAGTTAGTTTGTTTACGTCTCACGGGGCGGAAAGAAACTAACCACACGACAGACAAGCCACGAGAACCGGCGACTCCGGAAACGCTAAAAGCCATTCAAGACAGAAACCTCAGTTCGCAGGGTACCTATACGTAAACTTTCAAAAAATTCCTTCGTCCAAGACCTCTCACAACTTCGTCGCTCGTTTAGAAACTCGTGAGGTCGACTTGTGGCAAGTCTAGCCTATACGTACACTGGCAGAATCAGGGTGGTGAATTGGCACCAATCAGCCCACCTCATACGAGCGCAACTCATCCCCTTTCTTATCGCGACATTATACAGCCAAGGCAACAACATTTCAAGTTGCTGGGTAAATACAACCACAGGGAGCCCGCACAATCTGTTTGTGTAGCCGACTGTTATTCTATAGTAAATGTTCTGGCTTTACCGTTTGCCTCACCTGTAGCGATATGTCGCTAACTATGCATATAAATCAATGATAAATAAACGTTGAATTACCTTACCTGTGGTATATAGTCGTCGTTTTACCTCAAAAGCGGTTTTTTTTGAGCGATTTTGAAGGAGTTTGATTTCGCCGTTGATTGTTCCTTATAATAGAAGGACAAGGGTGGAATCCATGTTTTGAAAGGGCTCCAGTGCCGGAGCGATTTTCCCCGCAAAAATCGCATCGCGCCGCTCTCAAACCCCGTAGCACGGTTTGTGGCTGGCACGTATGAATCTTGCTACGCATTCCAGCCGCTCAAATACTGTGGGATTTTAATTTTCTTCGACGGCTAGCTCCGGGCTGTTTGGATGGATTTTCGATCGGAAGGTACGAGGAGAAACGTGAATCTTTCTACCTTTTTGCTACGGAGTTTGAAAGCGGAGCAATGCGATTTTGAGGAAAAAAAATCGCTCCGGCACTGGAGCCCTTTCAAAACATGGATTCCACCCTTGTCCTTCTATTATAAGGAACAGTCAACGGCGAAATCAAACTCCTTCAAAATCGCTCAAAAAACCGCTTTTGAGGTAAAACGACGACTATATACCACAGGTAAAGTAATTCAACGTTTATTTATCATTGATTTATATGCATAGTTAGCGATATATCGCTATAGGTGAAGCAAACGGTAAATCCAGTACATTTACTATAAAATAACAATCGGCTACACAAACAGATTGTGTGGGCTCCCTGTGATACAACAAGTAGGCGGGGAATCGAACGGCTAGGGATTTCTTTTGGTTTTATTTGTCTTCTGTTTTAATATGAAAGTAACCAGGGGCTACGTTCATAGTAGCCGGGGGAAATTCCCTGCCCCCGGCTCTTAATAACAGCCCTGATCTAGTATCCAAAAAAACTTAAAGGGTTTTATAGGTGACCGCCCTCCACAAAAAAACACTTCAAACCCAATATTTTTCTCCCCCGCCCCCCACCCTCCCATCTCATAAAAAACGAACGGTTGCTAATGATGTACATATACCGCATCAGAAATACACTGCAAAAAACTCCTTACTTTGTTAACCAATAGATCCTGATTTGGAGTAGATACATGTACATGTACACTACTCAAGTCTTTACTGTCCTCATCATCTCCAAACAAGCTTCCAATGTTTTTTGCTGTTAAACTTCCACTAAGCCTCCCAGTACTATGACGAGTTCTTGAGTCTCTTTTAGCACCAAGCCCAGAACTAATAACAGGCCCACCAATACTGCTATTAAGTCTCCGTTTACTTTTCTGTTTCAACGCCATTTGATCCGACAACGACACAGTTGGCCTCACGCTCCCTGATTGTACATGTAGCAATCCACCAATATCACTTGCATCTGTACCTCCTCCTTTATGCAATTCATCTTTCTGTGTACTGACTTGCATCTTACTGGAGTCATTAGCGAACTTTATGCCTGTTGGAGAGCCGTGAACTTTGCTTGAAGGTTTTTCCAGGCGTTTCAATAGATCGTCATGGTCTTTTCTGTCATTTTTATCACCCAGTTTGTCCATGTTATCGATGAGATCATTATTTGATGGTTGTGCAGTTGTCCTAGTACTGGATTCTTTTTTTCTTTCCCTGACAGTCAAATGTGCCAAATGAAGTTACCAATGCACTTTAGTTGTTACACATACATTGTAATACTTAACAAATGGACTCTCTCTTACATAGTACAGTGTAGGTGAACACCAGAGAGTACTAAGAGGCCATCAATATTCTTAGAAAAGAACTTAAGAGAAGACTGGAGGGAGTCAACTTTATATACATGTACATACATCGATGTCAGTTTACATTGAAAGGTGCCCATACCATTGAAGTACATGTACATGGAACTCACTGAAAGGAGTGCCTCAACAGACAAAATTCAAGAGTTGACTGAATACCCGGGAGGGGGATGAGGGCACTCAATGAAGATATGTGCATGTACATTGCACAGGGAGGTTCTGCCCTGAGGTCCAAGCCAGAAAAGGTACCTTTTCCCAACCTTTTTCACATACCTACATTGTGATAAGGTCAAAAAGCATGCATTTCTTTTGAGTACTGTAAATGTAGTCTTTGTGAATAAATCACCAAACCAGGAAGTTTTCTTGTCATTTCAACAGGCCCAAGATGCATCTGTTAGACTTTTAAGTCCTTTTACAGACTGATTTGACATATATATATACTAACTTCAACCAGTAAATTCCCTGCCCTTTCATATACAACCCTGAAGCCTGAAAAAGGTACCCCTTTGGGCGGAGCCTCCCTGTATACGCCATTATTGGGAGTACCCCATCCTGGGCTGTTCATGCCCCCACTCCTCAAAAGTGGTACTGAAATGTTTTGAATTTGTGTGGTACCAATTTTATCTGGGAGGAACCATTTTCAATTATTCATTTGTTGTACAAACAGCTCTCGCAGCAGTATTATTAATACCTTGTTTGCTTTGACTTTTGACTTGACTTATCTGCTCCAACAGATGTTGAGCCACTTTGAACGTCTCGATTTTTCATAAACTGAACCATGACCTCCAGCATGGTACGAAATGGTTCTGGTAATTCCTGACCAAACAATAAGTAGGAAAGAAGATTCTTGGTTAGGCTGGTAACTTCAATCATGGAAATCAAGCAGTGAATGTAATTCTCTCTTGGTACATGTACATACAGAGAGCTGGCAAGTTAGCTCTGCAAAGAATTCAGGTAATAGTCAGCTATTTCTTACTAAAATTCCTAGTGAATGTATGTTCCAAGATACCTTTGGACTTTTGGCTAAACAAAGAAGTAACGACACAATCAAAACTATGCCTGTGCATTTGAATAAGTCTACCAGGGAGATTTCAATCAATTCCAATGAGATGCAACCCATTCCTGATTAACCTTTTCACTCATCCACCAAGTTATCGTCAGATTATTTGTCACTCTACAAAACAGTAACATTATTCAGTCTGCGGACAAATGGTGTTACCATTCAAAACAATGAAACCTCTTTTGCAGAACTTTCAAGATCACTTATGACGAGCTGTATAAAAAGACGGACAGTATGGTACAGTCTCTCAAAATACATGTATTAGGCTAATTTGGCAACAGAACGGGAATGTCAGTTGACAACAGCGCACACAAATGAAACAACTGGCTTAACTAATGGCAGAGTGGGAAATTGGGCACTGTCAGTTGCATTCGGTCCTTTTCGTGCACTTTTCCGTCATCAACTGACACTCCCGTTCCGTTGCTAAATCAGCCTATTATGAGCCACAGGCTGTGATGGCTTGGTTATGTTCTAAGCATGCCCAGCGACAGGATACCCATGAGATGGACTCCAACTGGGAGGGGGAAAAGGCATGGTCCAAAAACTACCTGGTAAAGAATAGTGATGAAAGAGCTGGAGGAGATGGGTCTAACATGGGGTGAATCACAGGCCAAAGCTCAGAACAGGATTGAGTGTCAAAGCTTGATCAAGGTCTTATGTCCCAGTAGGGATAAAGAGGTTGAGTACTGGGTGGGCGAGTTTGGCAGAACTTTTGCATAAAGACTAAGATTTCAAGTTGCCAGGTAGATACAAACAGTGGACAGTTAATCAAACAGCTAAGGATTTGCTTTGGTTCTATTTTCCTATGAAGGTAGTCGGGGCCACGTTCACAGTAGCCGGGGAAAATCCCCCACCCCTGGCTCTTAGTAACTGACAGCCCTGATAACCCTAAGATAACACTTAACAGACACCTCTTTAAGATGGACACTTCTGTAAAATGGACACCTAGAGTTGGTCCCTTCTTTTCTTTACTCCCTTTAATTGACTCTCTACAAAATGGACACCTCTGTAAAATGGACACCTAGAGTTGGTCCCTGCCTTTCTTTACTCCCTTTATTTGACTCTCTACAAAATGGACACCTCTGTAAAAGAGACACCTAGATTTGGTCCCTGCCTTTCTTTACTCCCTTTATTTGACTCTCTATAAGACGGACACTTAGTGCCCATACCATAAGTGTCCATTTTAGAGAGAGTTGACTGTGGTATTATTTTCTGATTACATAATGAGCAGAATGCAATAATTATTATTGAGAATTCTGACTGTAACAGTGGAGACCATTGCATACTACCCACCTTATTCTTTTTCATGAGTCTTTCTATGTGCATTTCTTTGGCAAGTTGCAGACGGTTGCTAATGCTATGGAATAAATCAAAAGAAGATAGGTTCTTTTATTTGGTTGGTTAAGTGCATTTTAATCAATAAAAGGAATATCTTTTTTTGCATACTTCATTTGGTTCACTTACAGTGAATTATGTCCATGTGACTATAATAATTAGTTAGTAACTTAACTGTACGTTACTCATTCACATTTCATAACCTCTTTGTTTTATTAGATTTGCTTTGTAGAATATACACAGTACAGTTAAATGCAATAATTTGCTGCCCATCAAAATTTTATTACATTACAACATTATTTTTTATAGAAATTAAAATAGCAAAATATTGACAAATTTTTCACATTTCTCACGAAAAATAAAACCTAGAAATTAAATTCCCACAGCAAAGTTTGGTGAACATAAACTTATCCGTTGTTTTGGATGTACTTGTAAAGAAAATTGACCTAAATGGCACAATCATGCACCTTTCTTGTCCAAAACTCTCTAAGTTTTTACTAAAAGCACTCAGGACAGATGTATCTTATGGAGTGACATGTACCTATCTTCAGTTCTCGGCATTTCTTTATCCAAGGTCTGTAAGGTGGTCTTAAGCCCCTGTTTGTGCATAAACAAAGGTGGGTGTCATAATTTAAAATGCTTCCATTATACATTTCATGAGTTAACAAAGACAAAGCCTGCTTTGTCAATGTTAACTCAAATGCAAGGGGTTCTTTTGGTGTGCTTATAGACAAAGACAAAGTTGAGGTTCAAAAATAATATTATTATAAAAGACAGGAACTTGGCCAAAGTCCAGCCATCTAGAATGAGCAAACATGGTAAAAAGGACTCTCAGGAAAACAAAACTAAATGTTTTCTCTAGCTTGGGACCTGACATTAAGTGTACAATGGCAGATATACATGTTCACCAGAACTCTGCATTCTATTGTCTGCACCATGCTTAAGATGGCTTGAACCCGAACCCTTCGATTCCTGTAGGCACCTTTTGAAAAATGAAATCAAAAGGAATAATTTTTTGTAGGCAACTTTAAAAAAATTATCTGAAGGGTCAAAATTTTGCCAATTATATTTTCTTAATCTGAACCCTCTATTCAAAAACCTGCCATCCTTAGGGAAGGAAAAGGGGTTGCAGATGTAATGCCCTACCCTGTAATGTACAGAGATGCCAACCAGCACATATAAGCTAAGATTAAGCCTTCTTTGGAGATCTAAGCTTACCTTTCGGCTCAGGTATTCCCTGACAAGGGAAGCTGTGATGGAGACAATCTGTGAGTCAGCCATGTTGTCTGATTGCAACAAGAGGTCAGGTTGTAGCAAATTACAAGTTATCCCTACTTGAAAATTGTTTTAAATTAACGTGATGTATCGCCCTTCATTCTCGTCTTGTAATCAAAAGCTTGACTATAGGTGGATGTTCATTGATATTTATACAAGAGCTACAGAAACGTTGGTTGAAACGGAAAATCAGAGTCGTGCGCTGTTAAAACAAACATTTGCTATTCCTATTGGCATCAGAGTCTCCTTTTAACCATGAAGTACCTGAATCCTCTCAACGTTTAATATTTTTAGCCCAGGAAACAGCTTGTTATGATTCACACACACCGACAGTTGGGCGCCATTTTGTTCGAGTTAGTGCCAGGCTACACTCGATCCTAAGTGGACGAGGTACAAAAATGGGATGACCCTATTTGGACGAATAGCGGACTAACGGAATTACGGAACGGAATGACGGAATATATGGAATACTCTAAAATACGGAATACACGAAATAAACCAATTATCCAAAACACGAAAACACGGAATTTACAAAATATTCTAAAACAAGACATGGAATATACGGAATATTATTTGACCCAGAATAAGAGAAATTATCTTTCAAAAAGGATTAATACACCAGTATACATTCGACTCCCATAACTCGAACTCTCGCTATTGACTCAGACCTCATGCTAACTCGTGCTTGGATATATACCAGGGGTGCCAGAGACTTTTCTAGCCCGGTTTCCGGTTCTGTAAAGTCGTTATAGTGACCCGCATTCTAATCAAGACAGAAACAAATCGTCGAATACGATATAAAACAAAAAATATCCTCAAGAATTACTCGGCCGTCGATAAAGTAGGTAATGAAAATCTGTTTAGCCAGGAAATCCTGTTTCGTGTAGAATTAATCGTCTCCTTGTTTTTTATCTATTTGCGAAGCAGCGATACTTGCGCTTTTTAAGAGCATTCTTTTTTTGTCTGTGTGTGTGCCAAAGGTCCTGAGGAAATTATGGTCAAAGGCGTTCCTAGCGAAGATCGTGGAAACTAGGGATAAGAATCGCGGCGTGACAACAAAAAGGTGTCGAACCTTTCCGGAACGGGTCAGTCCACGAACTCTATCGCTTGAAAGCATTGATTACATTGGAACAAGGGAATACCTCAGTGGTAAAAAAAAAAAAATCTTAGGGCCTGTTTACATGGAGTGGGGGACCTCGGTCTAGTGGGGTTGGTTTCTTTTGTTTTCACGCTCTGGGGGACACAAAACAAAAGAAACTTACCCCACTAGACCGGGGTCCCATACTCCATGTAAACAGGGTCTTAATGAGCAAAACTTCGGGTGGTGCACTATACAGCTGTATACCAAGTGAATAGCAAGCCTCGAGTTACGTCACAAAGAACACGATTATGATCTCTTACACAATAACACAATAAACTTTACACAATAGAACGAGACAATAGTGCATATATTGACTTGCTAAATGCATCAAGTTTGTCTCTCACTAATACACGCCAGGATACAAGTCAATAGGTTGCTCATTACAGCTCAGCCAATCAGGGATTTGCGGACGACGAACAAAAGTGGGTTGTTATAGAAGGTGTCTCTTACCCTCTCTCCCCAATCTCCCTCCCTTTTTCCCTTCTTCCCTATCCCCTAACCTTTCGACGCCTGCTACGCAGGTTAGGGTATTGGGAAAGGGGATGCCCAAAACGCGGGGTTGCCCATGTCGCTGTAACAACGGCCAAGACAAAGAGTGAGAGGATCTGAGTGCGAGAACCTTGGACTGGTGAAAAACCAACAAAATGGCGGCAAAGGGGAACTGGATGTGCCTAATAAAAGACGCTAGAAGTAACTATGACTGCACGTACCATCCACACGGATACGGTAGAATGAGAAAGAGATCTTATTTTGCTGTTCAATACTTTCTTTTTTTTAAGTTAAAAGTTTTAGCCTATACGGCACTTTACAACTGGCCTGCCCTTTTTTCGTCAAGGCCCTCAGAATCTACTTCCTTCCCAAATTAAACTGTAGATATTTAAGCTTTACTGATTCGCAGACACTTTAGTGATCGCCTGTTTTGTGACAGGTCTACCCGAGGCTTCCATTTGCATACATTTTGGCTGTAGTCTGATTCAGGCTGTAAAATACAGTCAACTCCCTTCATTGCGGACACACTGTAGGGATCTCGAGTTTGTGTCCTCATTAGCGAGAGTCCGTAATAACGGGAGATTATTTCAGTCCAAAAACTGCAATTTTTTTTTGCCTGGGATTTAACTACTGTCCGTATTATTGGGGTGCCCGTTATAGCGGGGTGTCCGCAAGGCAAGAGATGGCTGTAACAAGAAAATTAAACGGTTCTTTTTTCACGTATTTGGAATATATTTGTCACTTTATCAGCTGGTACGGCAGCTTACGGCCAATTAAGGTATAGTTTTCTTTTGGTTCACAGTCTTCATCTACTTCACAGTTTTTAGACTTTTTAGTTTCCTCTTTTGATATCTAGTCCTGTTTACAATGCTTTCGGGTTACCTTAAATTATTCTAATTACCTTTTTTTCGCCTCTCAGGTGTCAACAAAATAATAATAATAATAATTTTTTATATAATATATAATAATTTTTTATTGATAAGAAAGCTAACTAAAAAATTACTATTTAAGCTTATTTACAACTAAATCTCGCTTTAAAAAAAACGATCCAGTGAAAGTACTATTTACAATTCATTTCGATAGAAAAACACCTAATTCCGATTAAAAAATATTCATTTCATGATAATGATAATGATAATAATAACAATAATAATGATAATAAACATTTACCTTGCTTTAAAGGCTAACAAAACATGGAGAGTGATTCGTATATAAAACCGTTCTTTGTAATAGAGTGAATCCAAAATGTACTGTCTACTTGAAAATATATTTGATCACCCCCAGTCAGCCGAAACTTTTTGAATCCCTGCTGAAGGTATTATTTCACATCTCAATCGGGACTCCACTATTGTCATGTCACACTCTGTTACATGTTGTTGCGTGACTCCACTATTGTCATGTCACACTCTGTTACATGTTGTTGCGTGTTGTTGGGAGTTGTTGCGCAAAGTCTGAAACCGGTCAAACGTTTGAGCCAACAACTCATATTATTTCTTTTGTTCCGTGATCGCCGAAGCGTAGTCAATTCACGTGAATTACACGTTGTCTCCTTGGAGTTTACAGAGTTTTATGGGTTGTATCCTTCCCACGACGTACTCCAGGTCCCAACAATGTTGCGACCGTTTGCACGTAGCTTACGATGTGGGGTCAATTTAATAAAACTTTTACAAGTGTAATTTACAAGTGCACCTATTGTTTTCGGACTCTAAAGCAATGGCTATACTTGTAAAATTACACTTGTAAAAGTCTTACTAAGTTGACCACTGAGGTCAGCCAAAAACAATGAAATGACGTCATATTGACGTCACAGTGCTTCACTGTGACGATCAAAAAACACCAAAGATGTAAGAAAGATAGCAACCCTCGTTTCCAGGATTTAGCCCAAAAAATCCAGGATTTTAAGGTGTTAACGTCATAATTATGTCAGGGTTATGTCAAGGTCTGAATCAACACAAACAGCAATAACCATCGCTTTCTCTTTCGTCCTTAGACTACAACTGCGTCCACCTAACCCTAACCCTAACCCTCCCTCTCCCCCTCTCACCACCCCGCTCCCCCCTTTCCTGCACGCATAAGGACGGTAAAACAAACCTCAAGTGTCGGCGATGCGGGGAATCTGCCTTCCACGGGCTAATGAACAAACAAAAGAGCAAAGAATTTGCATGTTTCCGTCAGAATTTGGTTATGCTTCATCAGGCAATAAACAAGTCTTTTTGTAAAATATTGAAGTACTACTTTAGCGGTCGTGACCTTAATATTTACCAAATCTAATGATATTATTCTGACTTCACAACAAGAAGATAACCTGCAATTTGGCGCCATTTCTGTTTGGTTGGAGCAAAGACGATTCAGGTGGTAGAACTTGAGGTAGACTTTTAAGGTTTTTTTCCGTCGTGAATTCAGCAGAACGATCTTTGTCGAAACCGTACGGTACA